TTGATCTGAGGGGAATCCATGGAAAGGTTGCTGGGTGAAGTAAGATTGGGGGGGATGGGTGTGAATGTGGGTGCAGAGATCAATCCAATACAGCCCCAGATGCAAAAAGCTTGCATGCCTATCAATTCACAAGTGAATATGGAGCTCTTGGTGGGGCCTGGCTCAGGGTGAGTTCAGTAGACTTCAGCAGCAATAAGGGTGGGATGTGGCTTGGTGACAGAGCACCTGCCTAGCATACATGAGGTGGTAGGTTCAAGCCCCAGAATGAGAGAGAGAGAGAGAGAGAGAGAGAGAGAGAGAGAGAGAGAGAGAGAAGGAGGCAAGAGTTAGAAGAAGTAGAAAGGAGGAGGAAGACGAGGAGGGAAATGTGCTGGGCAGTGTAGGATTGGCAACAGTAAATGCAAGGTACGTGGTCCCCTCAGTACTAAGAGGAAGATGTCTGAGCTCCATGCCTCCTCACTGCCAAGGGCAGAAAAAAGCAAAATCAGAAAGTCTAACTCTGGAAAACGTGACTATCCCCCAGGTTGCTGCGGCCAGGCTGGTTGCTCCTCAGCATACACCCACGGCCCCTAAACCCACTGGCTGCTTAGTCTGAGTGAAAGTTCTCAGATTAAAAATCATTGAGAGTGCCAGGCAGAACGATGCCACCAGAGAGGACAGCAAGAACGGCTGAGTCCCAGCATTATCAGACCCCTTGGCTACCTACTGTAGAAAGAAAAGCTGAAGCATCCTTGTCTTGAGCTCCCTAGGAGCCCCTGGAGGGGTGGGTCAGCATGACACAGGACGCTTGGTACCAGGGACATCAGAGACGCTTCTCTCCCTGATGAACATCTGCCTTGTCTCATCAAGGAGTTCCTGTATATCCCAGGAGGAGATGGGTATTAGAGAGCATGTCACCAGCTCCCATCCTCCACTCCAGACCCTTCACCTCTGCCCATGTGGGCCCCCCAAGTCCTGAATACAACCTTTCTAGGGTTACTCATTGACTTCTGTAGATGGCCTGAGCAGGGCCTCTGACTAGCCACTGCATTCCTCTGTACCCTCCAGACAGGTAGAGCTCCCACCCCACCACCCCACCCCCAAACCTCCAGTCCATCCCTGCCATGCCTTACACTGCTTCAAGCATCCCGTGGGCCTCAGCTCATCCTTTGAGCAAGCCTCTGCAGTCATGGTTGGACATCCTAGAGTGGACATCAAGAGTTCCAGGAGTCTCCCCGTGCCTGGGTCTCGGCAGGTTGGGATGGGGGCATTTCTCCCTCCAGAACCTCATAGCAGCTGACACTCACTCCTGTGGGGACTTTAACAGCTGCAACACAGAGCTGGGAGGTGGACACTGGAGACCCACACCTGTGAATGACACTTTGCATGGTCAGGCTGCCAGGGAGCCTTGCTGGGGGCAACTGTAGCTCGGGTGCTGCAGATTCCCTGTCCTTATTCAGATCTGGCCAATTCTCTTTAATAAACATCCCCTTGTTTACAATGTGGCTCAGGACAATTTCAAGTGATTTTTAAATGGCTTCGTTAATTTACATACATTTTTGATTATTGGCATCTGTCACGGTTTTTTTGGAGCACAGTTTTTCACATCATTTTGGAAATAGATCCTCTGCTATTTTACAATATACATTTTTAATTTATATGTAGTAGAAGAAATCCCAAGGTCTCTTAAAGACCTGCTTCCCATTGGGCTGAATAATAAAATTGCACAGAATCCCATTTGTCAAAAAAAATAAATTTATTTCATCAACTAGTGCCTCCCTGTGATAAGCAAGGATGTCATTAACATGTGGAGGATGTCACTGGCCATGTCCTTAGACTGGGCCTTGTATGGCCTGGAAGCCTGTTTCAGCACTGCTGAGCCTCCAGACACAGGCTGCCTGAACCGCCCATCTCCCTCCCAGTTCCACACAGCTGTTCCTCAGGTTGCCTGAGTCCTCACAGTCACAGCCACAGCCACTGTCACAATCACAGCCACTGTCACAGCCACAGTCACAGCCACTGTCACAGTCACAGCCACAGTCACAGCCACTGTCACAGTCACAGCCACTGTCACAGCCACAGCCACAGTCACAGCCACAGCCACTGTCACAATCACTGTCACAATCACAGCCACAGCCACTGTCACAGTCACTGTCACAATCACAGCCACAGCCACTGTCACAGCCATAGTCACAGCCACAGCCACTGTCATACCCACAGCCATAACCACGGTGCAGCCACAGCCACAGCCACTGTCACAGCCACAGCCACAGTCACAGTCACAGCCACAGCCACTGTCACAGCCACAGCCACTGTCACAGTCACAATCACAGCCACAGTCACAGTCACAGCCACAGCCACAGTCACAACCACAGCCACTGTCACAGCCACAGCCACAGCCATAACCACAGCCACAGCCAAAACCACAGCCACAGCCATAACCACACCCACAGCCATAACCACACCCACAGCCACAGCCACTGTCACACCCACAGCCACTGTCACAGCCACAGCCACAGCCACAGTACAGCCACAGCCACTGTCACAGCCACAGCCACAGCCACAGTACAGCCACAGCCACTGTCACAGCCACAGCCACAGTACAGCCACAGCCACTGTCACAGCCACAGCCACAGCCACTGTCACATCCACAGCCACTGTCACAGTCACAGCCACAGTCACAGCCATTGTCACAGCACAGCCACAGCCATAGTCACAGTCACAGCTACAGCTATAGTCACAGCCACTGTCACAGCCACAGCCACTGTCACAGCCACAGCCACTGTCACAGCCACAGTCACAGTCACAGCCACAGCCACTGTCACAGCCACAGCCACTGTCACAGCCACAGTCACAGCCACAGCCACAGCCACTGTCACAGCCACAGTCACAGCCACTGTCACAGCCACAGCCACTGTCACAGCCACAGTCACAGTCACAGCCACAGCCACTGTCACAGCCACAGTCACAGCCATAGTCACAGTCACAGCCATAGCCATAGCCACAGCCACAGTCACAGCCACTGTCACAGCCACAGCCACAGTACAACCACAGCCACAGCCACAGCCACAGGACAGCCACAGTACAACCACAGCCACAGCCACAGCCACAGCCACAGGACAGCCACAGTCACAGCCACAGCACAGCCATAGTCACAGCCATAGCCACAGCCCAGCCACTTGGCCCTACATTTCCTATTACCCCCAGGACTGCCTCTCATGCCACCAGTGCCTAACACAATTTAACAAAGCTAAAGCCTGTCGGCTCTTCCCCAGAACCCCTTGCCTACACACACACACACACACACACACACACACACACACACACACACACACACACACACACACACTTTACATAGACATTTATGTATAAAGGACATCCAGACTGCTAAGCATCAGCCTGACTCCATGCACAACTCACAGGATCACTCACTGTGTCCTTTGCTGCCACTGATCCCACCCCATCCCCATCATAACTTAAAGTCCCTTGTATGCCAGCCATAGATGTGACACTGAATAGCCTGCCTGCTGCCTCAGCACTCACAGGCCTCTCCCAGCATTCCTGCCACTCCTTCCCCACCTCGCTGCTCCAAAAGGCCACCGGCCCCTTCCCCACCCCACCCCCTCTGCTGGGACAGACATTATCCCACAGGAATGGGCTTCTAAATCAGCTATGGTGCCCACACTTGCCTCCAGGATCCCATGAGGCATTGCAAGTCTGCAGCAAAGCTGTAAAGGCCAGGCCTGAGCTGCCCTATCCAGGCCCTCACCACTGTCATGCCTGCTTCAACCTGGCAGCACCCTGAAACCTGTCCCAGGAACCCAGGAAACTGCTTCTTCCAGCAACTCTGACCTCCTCTTTTTGTTATTGTTGTTGTTTTGTTCTTTTGAGACAGGGTCTCACTGTGTAGCTCTGGCTGGTCTGGAACTTGCTATGTAGACCAGGCTGCCCTCGATTTCACAAAGATCCAAATGTCTCTATGCTGGGATTAAAAGCATGTGCCCCCAAGCCCCCACACTTACCTCTATTCATTCCTCTTCTCCGGTCCCTTCTCGGGACTCCCATAGGTGGCTCCTCTGAGCACAGGTGGGAACTATGACCACTCCCCTCCAAGAGAGGAAGCCTCCTCAGTGATGCTGAGAGAAACGAGGATGGCAGACTGGGTGATGGTGCCCAAAAGCTACAAAGAGGCCAGGGAAAGTAGTTCCAGGCTCACCCCTGTCTGGGAAGCTATCAGTAACCCGGGTCTATGGAACCCAGGAGACGGCTGAAGGTGCCTTCCCCAGGGGAGAGGCATGGGGTTTCTTCAGCACATTTCAAAACATGCCTCAGGGGTGCTCAAACTGGGGGAGCGAGGCAGACAGCACTGGAGACGTGCCCTCCCCTTCCCTCCCAGAACACCATGCGACATTCCACATCTAATGTCCTGTGTGCCCCTGCGTATGGACCAGATGGCCTGCCACTGCAGTCCAGGATCCATGGGGTCATCTCGTCTAGTAGATGGCATCTTATCTCAGAGATGCTACTCAGGTGGCAGGAGGTGCGCCAGGAGTCACAAAGCTGAATCCCGTTCACATGGCAACCTTCCACACCCTGGCCTTCTCCAAAAACAAGGAATGGCCCCAGACCCTGCGCATGGCATCGGCTCAGGCAGCCACCCAGACCTGCAATGCCATGGCATCCGCCGGGAGGTCTCTAGGGCCAGGACTTGGGTACGGTAGGGAAACACTCCAGCTAGAGGACAGTGAGGTCAGCAGCCTATACCCAATGATGCAGGCCCTTCAGCTGGAAGACAGATGAAGCCTGAAGATGGTACAGCACCACCTACTGAACAGCATCTGGCTGGCCAAGGGCCTCTCCTCCCCAAAACCCACAGCAGGACCTCTGGCAAAACGAGAAAAGGGAAGAGAGGAGCGAGGGTGCTGAATGCAGACCATCCAAGGCGCTCTCCTGTGCTTTACTCTGAGCACCTGAGAGACCCATCAACTAACTCTGAATCCCCTGAAATAAAACAAGAAATGCCAGATGTAAGGAGACTCTTTAATCAAAAAGAACAGACATCAGCAGACAGACACCCGAGCACAGACTCTACTCAGTGTGTGCCTTACTCCCAGGCACCCCCCTCAAGAAGGAGGCCCACGCCTCACCTGCAGGGCAGGTGTCTGTGAAGGGCTGACCAATCCCCAGCTCCAGGCCACACTGGACAGAGAGCCATGAGGGATCACACAGGAGACAGGCAGATCTGCAGGTGACATGTGGCTCCTAATGACTCCATTCCCCAGTCCCCAGGCTGTCCTTCCTGTCCAATAGAGGATGTACTCAGTCTCCCAGTCAGAAGGGCTCAGGGTTCCACATCTTCCAGATGACCTTGCCTGCCCCCTCTGCTCAAGTGTACACAGGGGTCAGGGTCAGGACCTTGGCTGGGGTCAAGGCTGAACAAGACTCTGACAAGAAATGGCTAGAGACTAGGGAGGCCGGCCTGGGGAGTGTGGGGCTCAGCAACAGACGACATCCACCCTCGGTACACAAACGAACTGTGTCACTCTCTTCCACCAGCCCACTCGCGTGGTCGGTCTGAGCTCCATCAGGCAGCAGACTACACAGCAAGGACCACAGCAGCCTGGGCAGGAGAAGTCTGCCATGACCAGGGAGGGTGTGGCCAAAGCAGGCCAAACAGAGGAAGTGTCCGCCAGCCCTCGAAGCTCTGGGCAGCATCCTTCCAGCTTCTCCAGGCACGGCCTTCCCTCTGGCGGAAGTTCACAGCAGCTGGTCCGTGCGCTTGCTGCGCCACACCACCAGGCCAGCCATGGCCACGGTCAGCACGACGGGCACTGCGATCAGCGGGATGAGCACTTCGTCTGGGGGATCTTCCCAGTGGGCCCTGTCCACGGTGCAGTTGGAGAAGAACTGCCGGTGGACGCCCGTGATGAAGCTCTGGGCCAGCGGGTTGGGCCAGTAGCAGCCCACGAGAGTGCTCTCCAGCTCGGTGCAATTAGTGAAGCTCTCATAGTACCTGTGGAGGCAGAAGGTAAGACCACACCTGCCCTGCCCCGGGACCCAACAGACAGGCAGGGAATGGTCTGGGCTCCGCCCTGTTGGCCACCTACCCAAACTGTGGCCTTAGATGTCACCTCCAACTGGGTCATTTGTAACTGTGGCCTTTTCTCCATGTCGGTTCCCTACACCTGTGACCATCACCTGATTCCCTGGAGCTGTAAGCTCCCAGGGCCCATGATGTCTGTTCAGCAACAGGCCTCCCCAACACTGTACAGGTCTCCCCAAAAGACATGGAGCCCGGGCCCACAGCCACAAGGACCTGTAAGGCCCTCGTCATCAGAGCATCCTGAAGGCCTGAGAAAAGAGTCTGCTTGAGGCCAGAGCCAGCTTCCTCCCAACCAAATCAATCTGCTCTCACATGCCAGGTGACCTATGAGGCCCAGCCTCGGCCTGTCTGACGAGGCAAAGTTGCCCTCTGCCCCATCTGACAGGATGCAAGGGAACTGCTCATATGAACAAACATGGGAGAGACTCCCAGAGAACCTCCTACGATAGGCCTCATCTATCCTACCAGACTTCCACTGTAGCCACGGGCAACAGCTTCCAGGATCCAGAGTTCAGCCTGATGTATGTCAGGATTTCCAAGTACCCCCCTAGTCCAGGATGCAGTGAGCAGCCCCTGGAGGTGGTGACCTCCCTGCTACTGAGGTCTTGGAGGCCAAGGTCAGCTAAAGAGGTTGTGGAGGAAGCCGAGAGGATGGATGTCTGCCTAAAGCAGCAGCTCTACCCAGGATAGCACTTTCCCAGGTCTGTTCAGATGAAGGACACAGGAGAAAGAGGATCCTGGCTCAGTCTCCCATGGGATCAGGGCGAGGGCCACCTCCTCCTTCCTGTGCTGTTCCAGGAAGGAGTAGGGGCTTCCCCATTAACAGGAAGGAGCTACTTCCAACAAGCTGCTTCAAAAAAAAAATCATTGCAATCTGAATTTCCAGAAGCATCAGAAAAAGGATGGAGAGTGGGAGGGGCGGACTAGCAGGGTCCCAGGTCCTATGTGTCTACTCCTCCTGGGCAGGGTCCTGGAGCCTGCTCATCCAACCAGATTCCTGACTCACACAGGCTGGCTCTCAAAGCCCAAACCACATACCTGTGGCCTCCAAGGTAACCTTCACAAGGAAGACCTAGAAGCAAAGAGGCCCAGAATCCTTGTCCAGTCTCAGAGGCCCCACTGGGCTTCACTCTTAATGCAGCCCTGGAGATGCCTAGGTTCTCAGGACATCTGGAACAGGGAGTCATAAACACCCCAGAAAAACCTTTTGCCTCATCTCTATGTGTGTTGAGAACCACATGCTATGACCCCCACGTTTCCAAGGCCTTTCTACTGAACTGCCCCGAAATACCACCCACAACAATTGTCCTCGCAGCTCCGTATGGTTAAGTCAGGCAGACCCCAGAAGCCCCTACAGCCCAGGGCGGTGTGTAGACAAAGCTAGGTGAGGACTGTGGGAGGGCTGTGGGTGGATGTCCCTAGGACCATGAGCTTCCGCTCATGTATGAGAGGGGCCAAAGGGTAAGGCTAAGTGAGTGCAAACAGCACAGCGGCTGGGCCCCATGACCAGCAGGGCACTCACACGATGAACTCGGATAGGTTGCACCACTTCCAGACATCCACCTTGTGCATCACGTCAGCGAAGGCTTTCCCACAGCGGGGCAACCTCTCCAGCATTCCTGTCTCATTGCAGCCGCACACTTGGGCACACTCACCTGGAGGGAACAACAGTGAGATGCTCAGGGAACTCTGACAAGCACAGACTCCGCTCCTGTGCCACCACAGGCCAGTGTCTTCCCTCAACCCTGACCCTGAGGTAAAACAAGTATGTCTCCACTTGACCACAGCAGTGGCACAAGGAGGGAGCCATAGGGAAGCCCTGGGCCAGAGGCCTCCGGAGTGGGCAGAGGTCTTGGGCATATCCAAGAGCCTCCAGCTCCAGCTCAGTGGCCCAGGGTGCCTGCAATGGTCCTGAGAAAGGCTCTGAGCTGGTATGGACCTCCCACTCCTGTCATAACCTGCTCTAATTCTGGGACTCCTGAGGTTGAGGCCCCATGGGGACTCATGTTCCCAACAACAAGAGGGTCCATGGAATTCTCGGGCCTGACACTGCTTGTCACCCCAGGATTTCACCACGCCCTACCCTCTACCTCACACCTTCATTCTATATGCATGTTCCTAACAGGGACCAGAAATGTCTTACTTTCCACCAATCAACGCCATCTTGTTCTCCAGAGCTTGCCCACACCATGGCCATCCTATTTCCAGGTGGCATAACTACGCTGCGTCTAAACTTCCTCCATCTAGCCCCAATTTTGTTCCCATCATATAACCAAGGGAAACACAGCGCTGTGTGGCTTGGTGGGCGGTGTACAGATTCCCTGCCAACTGTATACGGGTGTGTACAACCCTGCTGTGTCCTGAAGAGAATGGGGGATGTCTGGGAGGTTTATAGCCCTACTCTATGTGTGTGTGTCTGTGTGTGTCTGAGTGATGTGTGTCTATGGGTCTATGTGAGTGGTGTGTGTATGTGTGTGTGTGTGTGTGTGTGTGTGTGTGTGTGTTTGTGTGGTGTGTGTGTGTATGTGTGTGTGATGTTCTGAGTAGGCAACCCTCCTGTCTACATCCTGGGGTGTGGTGTATGACCCAGATCTGTGCCCTAAAAACTAGTGAAGGGCTGGAGGAGACAAGTTCCTGCTTGGAATGGGATAGACTTGGCTATACCAATTATCAGCTCAGCCTCAGTTTCCCCATCTCTAAACAAGGTAAATGTCCACAAGGCTCTTGAACGGTACCCACAGCAGTCATGTTTAAGATTTACTGCAGATATGCCGGGCGGTGGTGGCGCACGCCTTTAATCCCAGCACTGGGGAGGCAGAGGAAGTGGATCTCTGTGAGTTCGAGGCCAGCCTGGGCTACCAAGTGAGTCCCAGGAAAGGCGCAAAGCTACACAGAGAAACCCTGTCTCGAAAAACCAAAAAAAAAAAAAAAAAAGATTTACTGCAGATGTGGCAAATGCTCACTCGTTTCCCTCACTTAACAAAATCTGGTGGGATTGTAATAGATACATGGTATACTCTGAGAGGTCAGCCAAGCCTGTCGGGGTCCCACATTCTCACATGTGCAGCTCACACTGGGCACTGAGCGCTGCTAATTAAACCACCTAAAGGAACAGCAAGTCCAGACCTAAGCATTTTCTGGTGCAGTGGCCCATCAGATTTCAGAAGGTAAGCCACAGTCCTCTCAGTCCTCACGGAGAGAAGCCCCAAGGGGCCCTAGGCTCACAGACAAGAGTCTGCCCCACCTACGGCAGGAAGCCTGGCAGTCTGGCTCAGGGCAGGCTCTATAGCTCACCTTGTGAATGGCCCCAAGACTACACAATATTCTAGGGACAGATAAGTAACAAGAGTGAATGAGGCAAGAATGTGAAGAGTGAGCAGGGGTGAGGCCCTCAGGTGACCTTGGCATTCTCGTGGTAAAGGGACCACACACCCGCAGAAAGCAAAGTCGCCTTCCTCCACACCCACAGGGAACACCAACACTGCCTGGAAGCCAGAGAACAGGACACAAAAGGACCTCCCAGCTGCCTGGGACCTGGATGCCCAGACTTGGAATGCCTTTTTCCTTCTGTGCTTGTATGAGAAAGATGGGAAATGTTCCCTGAACCACTGGGGCCTTGTGAGCTCAGGGGCCTGAGCACTGCTTCCAGACTGAGCAGTAGCTGACCCGTGAGCCATTATGCTCAAGGCAGAATCCTAAAAATCCCAGCTCAAAATAAAGTGTCACTCATCCCTAGTGGCCAGCCTGGGACACTGGACAAGACCTTATCTCTGAATGAATCAATGAATAAATGGATGAATGAATAATCAGATCAGCAAGCTGGGGCGGGGGGGGGGAGAACTCAAATTACTAAATCAAGAATGAAAGAGAGGCATGTGATGCCACACTCCTGTAAATCCAGCACTCAAGAGACAGCATCAGACAGATCTCTGGGAGTTCTGAGCCAGCCTGGTCTACATAGTGAGCTGCAGGCCCCTCAGGGCTACAAAGTGACATCTTGTCTCAAAAAAAAAAAAAAAGGAAGAAAGAAAGAAAGAAAGAAAAGGATAAAAGAGGGGGCGTTGGTACATCACCACCCATCTTCCAAAACAAAAAGGATCATAAGCAAATACTACAAACATCCACGTGATAAGAAACGAAATGAGAAAACTCCAGTAAGACAGTGTTACGGGTTAAACAGTGTGGGGAAGGTGTGGGTATGTTGAAGTCTTGGCTCTTAGCACCTCAGAATGCGGCCTTATTTGGAAAATAGGATCTTTGCAGAAGTAGCCAACTTACACTGAGTCCATTTGGGTGGGCCCTAGTCCACGTGAGCAATACTCTCACAAAAAAGGGACCCTGGGACACTGGCAAACACACAGAGGGACGACGATGTGAAGTCACACCGAGAGAGGCGGGTCATACGAAGGCAAAGGCAGAGATCGGAACAAAGTCGCCGCCGCCACGGTGCAAAGAACGCTTGGGGCCGCCAGAAGCCAGGCAGAGGCAATGAGAGAGCATGTCCCCGCTGCGGTACAGAACGAAGAGAAACATCTGCTGTTTCCAGTCACTTGGTTTATGATTCTTAGTGACAGCTGTAAGACACTATTAAAGATACAAACCTCTGGAACTCACTCAAGGAGAAATGGGGATCTGAGAAGAACCAGAGCGGGTAATGGGACTGAGAACTAAAACCGTCTGTAAAAATAACCCCAGGCCCAGGGGCTGAACTCGGTAAGTCTACCAAGTGTTTAGAGCATCGACAGAAACCATCCACAAACTTCAGACAACAGAAGAACAGGAAATCCTGACTTCTCCACTTCCTTACTCATTCTGTGAGGCCCGTTTTACCTTGACAGCAAAAGCCAAAGTCATTCCTAGGAAGAAAGCAATACCTCTTAGGAATACAGATGCAAAAAACCTTCAATAAACACTAGCTGTGCAAGTTCAGCAACACACAAAAATGAATACACACCATGGCTAAGGGGAGTTTTCCTAGAGACGCAACGGTGGTTCAACATACAGAAATCAGTGCAGCGTGCCACACTGGCAGACGGAGGGTGAGGGGACCACGTGGCTCAGAAAAAACATCTGAAAAAATAAAATGTCGCCGGCCGGTAGTGGCACAGGCCTCTAATCCCAGCACTCAAGAGGGAGAGCCAGGCAGATCTCTGTGAGTTCAAGGCCAGCCTGGTCAGTAGAGCGAGATCCAGGACAGGCACCAAAACTACACAGAGAAACCCTGTCTCAGAAAAAAAAAGAAAAAGAAAAGAAAAAAGAAAATGTCCTTTGGCATTTAAATAGATAGATAGATAGATAGATAGATAGATAGATAGATAGATAGATAAATCTGAAAAAGAGAACACCCTTAACACACTAAAGGCCATCCAGGAAAATCTCAGCATTAATACCATACTCAGTGGTAAACGGCTGAAACATTTTCTCCTGAGACCAGGAGAGGACAAAGATGTCTGTTTTCAGCACTTCTATCCAACACAGAACTGGAAGTACAATCCAGAGCAGTGGGCGTCAAAGAGACAAAAGATCCAGATTGGAAAGGGAGACAGGGAAGTATTTGAACCCACAAACGTCATGATCTTCTACGCAGAAGGCTCCAAAGGTGCCATGCAAGAACTGAGAGCGTGATTCCACCAGCTCCGCACAGAAACAGGGACAAACCAACACACAACCAAAGGTACTGGGCTGCAGGGACAGCTCAGCGGTTAAGAGCACAGGCTGCTTTTGTGGAGGATCCGGGTTTGGTTCCCAGCACCTACAGGTGGCTCACAATCATCTGCAACTCCAGTTCTAGGAGATCCAACACCCTCTTCTGGCCTCTCTGGGTATCATACCTGCCCGTGGTGCACATATACACATACAGGCAAAACACTCATACACATAAAAATAATAATAGATCTTCTAAAGGTATTAATAAAAAATCCAGAAATAAAGGAAATAATTTTGATAATAATATAGTCAAAAAGAATTAAATTCTTGGCACTCAATTTACCAATCAAGGCCAAAACCTGTACTCTGAACACTATAAAACATAATATCTATATAAATGGAAAGATAAGCCATGTGCATCAATTGGAGTATTTAATATTAAGATGTTAATACTGGGCTAAAGAGATGGTTCAACTGGTAAAGGCTAGGCTCACAACCAAACATTAAGATGTCAACTATTGTCATGGCTACTATTAATTTTACCATGACAAGATCTTGACCCATCCATAAGAAAAGCCTCTGGGCATACTTGTGATGGATTTTCTTCATTATGTTAACTGACATGAGAATTCCCACCTTAAATGTGGGCGGCACCTTCTGGTGGAGGATCAGATAGAAGAAAACCCTAGGGAAGGAGCGGTTTGTTTTCGCCTGCTTGTCTTTGCCTCTGACTGGCTGAGCTCTCTGCTCTACGGCCACTGCCACTGCTGCCGACACCCTTCACTGCCACCAGAACTGAGGTTCTTCAGCCTTCTAACAGGAACTGAAAACCACGGCTCTCCAGGAATCATCCAGTGCCCAACTGAGCAG